GAAGCAGCCTCTTGCTCCGATCGCAAATTTCGTGCCTGCCGCAACCCATCTTCTGAAACTGAAGGGGCCCTGGGACACACACATAAGTATACACACAAATAATAAAAGACATCCCGATGTTTTTACATATATTATGGGTGTTTGTTTTCCCCCCCACTTCCCATATTTTCCTGAGGGTGGACGATTAATTGTGTCTGTGTGTTTTTTCCACCTCCTGAGATACCTCCACGCCGTCCCTACCCCAGCGGAGGAGGCGCGGGGAGGAGCCGAGAAGGGGGCCAGACCTCGCCAGAGCACGACGCCTTTCACGAGCCCCCAGACCCTGCCCGCGGTTTCCTGGATGGCGCCATCACGCATGGTCACGCTAGCTTTGGAAGAATGCACCAATTACAATATATATATATATATATATATATATATATATATATGTATATATATGTATGTATGTATGTATGTATGTATGTATGTATGTGTGTGTATTCCTCATTGCATCGCCTCGACAGCGCCACAAGCTATCTGAACTATCACGGGGCGTTTTCACGCCTCGTGGCGCGGCTGGGCGCCGCAAAGGGCCTAAACATATATTGCATCAAAGCAAAAGTGCACAAGGATGAGGAGAACCCTAGCAGCGACCTATTCTAAAAAAATTCGAATAGGTCGGACGAGCAGCCCCCAGAGAAAAAGGAGGAGGAGGAGGAGGGCAAAGAGGCCGAAGGGGGAAGGAGGAGGAGGAAACGAAAGAAAGCCCAACTTGCGAATGGTACGAATTCCCTGTGAAACGTATCGATCCGGAGGCTGCACATATGAAGGTTCGATCGCTCTTGAAGCGAAATAACAATCATCACATTCGCTCCAGCACGCCACGCAACTGAGACTGGTACACACAGAGCGCATCATCCCCGGCGCTCTAATGCCGAAGGTAAGCATGAACTGCGAAACAGCTATACACATGGAGTGAAACGGCCTTGTGAGAGGGGTTGGGCAGGGAACAAAGTAAGAAATGGCGAAAGAAACGACCAATCTGACAAATCAAGGTGCAAATAGCGACGGCCTGCCTCCAAGAGGACAGGACAACACCAACAATGCTCGATCGAATCGGACCCTGAGGTCTTGCAGCAAACGCGTGGGGCTTCCTCTTGAAAGCGCCGTGCGGTTGTCCTGCCATTGAAAAGAATATGAATGCAGGCAGAGAGGACACACGGAGGAACCTGGCGACGCAAAATGGACATGTTGCTTGCAGAACACTCCGCGCAGACGCGCAGTGTCGACGATCCTAAGATGCGGTTCCACTTTTTTCAGCCGTCTGTGGACGGCCTGAACAGGGCACGCCAGAAACAAGTGGCCATGCAATTGCCAGTAAATCGCAGCTTGGCCAGCCCTAACCTCACCACGAACTGTAATCAATGAAACTCCCATTGTGCTGAGTCGGGCCTGTGCGCGATCCAGAACACGGACGGCCAAACGATCAAGCCACGATTGCCACCTCCACAGCAGCGGAGCATGGCCACTCAAAGCAACGCGCTGCAAAAGGCTGAAGCTGGTGCGCCAGCCAGGGCATGTAGTAGACAATGTCCTACACGCAGAGGCCAAATGCAAGGCCATCATAGAACGAAACGGCACTGGGAGCCCGAGCCGGTCGATATTGAATTCGCACTTCGGGGGCAGCCAGTTCCCTGGCCCAGCGACCAGCTTGCGAAGCAGCGCACGATCGGTCTTCAGGAGGTCGGCGGTCGGCTCGACCAGCTGCAAGACGAACCCCAGCACGCTGATGGCGACGGAGTTGCACAGCAATACAGTGGCCAGCAAGCCGAGTGAAAGATCTTTGATGTACTGGACTCTGCCCAAATACTTGCGCATAGGCGCCGAGAGAAATAGCGAGCCCGCTCCCAGACCGAAGAAGAAACCGAGGTATTTGCCAGAAGAGTCACACAAGAACTCGCCCCAGAAAGGAATCTCTTCTTTGACAAGAAGAGTCCGAACCGAACTGGTAACCGTGAACCGGCGGCTCCTGCAACCGAACCGCCCGAACCGGAGCCCGAACCGGACCGGCTGAAACCGGACCGGGCGGTTCGAACCGAACCGGCCGGTCGAAACCGGCCCGAACGGCAAGCCCGAACCGGGTGGAACCGAACCGGGCCCCGGGACTCCCCACCGGCCCAAGAAAGCCCCCAGAAGAGCCCCGGTGCCGGCCCCCCCCGGTGCCGGCACCCCCCCCCCCCGGCACCCCCCCCCCGGTGCCGGCACCCCCCTGGCCCCCCAGGTGCCGGCAACCCCCCCCCCCGGTGCCGCACCCCCCCCCCGGTGCCAGGAGCGCGAGCCTCCTCGCCCGCGCTCCTGGCACCTCGCCCCTGCACCTCCTAAACCTCCTCCTCCTCCTCCTCCTCCTCCTCCCTCCTCCCCTCCTCCTCCTCCTCCTCTCCTCCTCCTCCTCCTCTCCTCCTCCTCCTCCTCCTCCTCCTCCTCCTCCTCCTCCTCCTCCTCCTCCTCCTCCCCTCCTCCTCCTCCTCCTCCTCCTCCTCCTCCTCCTCCTCCTCCTCCTCCTCCTCCTCCTCCTCCTCACTTCTCCTCCTCCTTCTCCTCCTCCGGCCCAAAACCGGCCCCCCCAAAACCGGACCGTCCCGCGACCGCCGAACCGAACCGGCATAACCGACCCGGACTGGCAAAACCGGACCGACCAAAACCGGACCGGCGCCGAAATCGAACCGCTGCAACCGAACCGGTCCGCCGCCGAACCGGCCCGAACCGGCCCGTTCCAAAGAAATCGGCCACATGGGAATGGTCACGCACTTCCGAGGCTTGCTCTTGAGATTCGAAATGCGCGCGAAATCTTGGAAGAGGAATGCTGCGACAGGCCCGTCAACCCATATCCTCCCCGGTATGATGGCGACGTCGTCGGCAAAAGCTCGCACTAGACAGCGGTCGCCCAAGTTATGAACCAGTGCTCGAAGAAATGCATCAATAACTATAACGAACAGCGTAGGGCTGAGGGGGCAACCTTGTTTCACCCCCGAAATACTGGTGAAAATTAGAATTGTCATCCCGCCAAATCGCCAAAAATGTGTACTCCCGCGATATAGCTGCTGCACGGCCGTGATGATGGACACTGGAATTCCGATCGCATCCAAAGTTAAGTCATCCAGAGAAATGCTAAAGACAAGCTCGGAAAAGCGGCGCCGAAATCGTTCAGCAGACAAGCTGGGCGCGGACTTCCGGGCCGTGCTGCCGGCTGACCGGGTTCCTGCGAGTCTCTAGCTAAAGCTGCGGTGGCCATATGGGTCTCCACCTCGATGACGTTGTCGAGCATTTGCCGGCCTTTGATAAATCCCCGCTGCGGGTCAGAGGCGCATTTGCCTACCGCGGGCTCCAGAATCCGGTTGATTGAAGCAGCAAATGTTTTGACATCAGAGTTGCCCAGGGACAGCGGGCGCGCGACGGGCACGGACCAGAAGCCGGCGGGGCCCGAGGCTAGATCGTGACCTTTAGCAAGCAGGGCAAGCCACACATAGTTGGCATCGCGAGGAAGTGGCGCGCCGGCTAGCTATATATATATATATATATATATATGTGTGTGTGTTTATCGATCTATATATATATATACATATAAATATATATATATATATATATATGTATGGAGCGCTCGCTCCACCATTTCTTGGGACAAGGCGGGATACCGTCCATCTCTACCCCGGCCGTGGCCTGCGTGTCGGCCTGAGCGTTCCCGAGGACGTCGATCCTCTCAGGGCACTGGCGGCCCGCGAGGTCAGGGCCCGAGTGGGCATTCACCTCGACGAGGTCGGGAGCTCCTGGGGCCGAACAAGAATCCTGGATGGGCAGCCGGATCTAGCTCCAGATCCGCACGCGGGCGTCGCCTGCGGGTCGCCACACCTCACCTCTAGCAAAACCTTCGACGGCAATGGCGCTACCAACTCCCACCCGCAAAGGTGGGCATGCGTGCTAGAGAACCTTCAGCAGGTCCATGAGCTCCGCTCGAAGCACCGAGCCGCTCACCCTGCGTCCTCCCAGGGCGCCTCCACCAGCCTTCAGAACGGCCCCCTCCTCACTCAGAAACACAAGCCCCCAACCATGACTATTGCACCCTGGGGGGGTCAATCCCCGAGCCGTCGGAGTAGGCGTAACCTGAGACGAGAGGGTCGTCTCCAAATTCATCATTCAGCATCCCGCGGTGCGAATGGGCACTCGATGCGATGGGTCGCGGGGCCTCTAGCGAAGACGAGCGACGAGCCGAGCCAGGTCCGAGCGTGCTGCACAATCGCTGGCGCATCCTCGGCCGCCTCCTTCCTAGCATCCTCGAGCGCAGGGCCCGAGGGACATGTCAAAGCTGGCATTCGCGAGAATCACTGTGGCCAGCCTACCAGATTTGTCCTGAGTCCAGAAGGAATCGCCTGCAAAGCCAAGGTCGCCTGCCGGCGTCCAAGCGCATGCCCCCCCCCCTGCCTATGGACCGCCCGAATTGGTCCAGGAACGGGCGGGAAAACTGTCATCCCCTGGATGTGGCCCACCTAGTGAGCCCCAGCACCTCCACTTTAGCAGCCGCTAGGGGCCTGATGGTAGCGGGGGCGAGTCGGCGGATGTCGGGGAGGTCACCCGAGTGGGCGCGGCATGCGCGACAAGCAGGCCAGCGCCAACCAATCCTATGGAGGGCGGCAAGGACTGCGGAGGCTGGGCCACAGACTTGGCGCCAGCGGTTGGCCAGCGGCTTGGCGGCCAGCCTCGTGCCAGCCTGCTTCCAGCCTGCTTCTAAGTCGGAAAGAGCATGCAGCCCATCGCACGAGTGGCTCAGCACAGACATTTAGTGTAGTCCCTAAAACAAGGAAGAGAGGACGGGTGGAAGGGGGAGGGAGAAGAATGGAGCACGAGAGAATTAGCAGGTGGGGGGGGCAAGGAGCAGAAAACAAGTGGTAGAACCAGACGGGCAGATCAGGTGGGAAGACCCATAGCGGGCAATCGTGAGAGAAGCCAACGCGAGAGCGTGATTCCTGAGCGCCGAGGGCGCATCGTCTGAATAAATTGCGAGGAAGTCCCACGCGAGAACGCGATGTGTACATGAATTGTGAGGAAGTCCCGCGCAAGAGCACGATTTGGGAATACATTGTGAGGAAGTATCAAGAGGGAGCCGTTGTTGTTGTTGTTGTAAGCCGAGGGCCAGGATCCAGTTAGAGCCCCGTGACTATCCCTGATTGAAGAAACACAATGGTAACCGGAGGGGGGAGAGAGAATTCAATAACAACAACAACGACAACGACAACGACAACAACAACAACAACAACAACAACAACAACAACAACAACAACAAAAAAAAACAAAAACAAAAACAAAAACAAAGACAACGACGACGACGACGACGACGACATCAACAACAACAACAACAACAACAACAACAACAACAACAACAACAACAACAACAACAACAACAGCAACACCAACAACAACAACACCAACAACAACAACAACAACAACAACAACAACAACAACAACACCAACAACAACAACAACAACAACAACAACAACAACAACAACAACAACAAAAACAACAACAACAATCAGCAGCAGCAGCAGCAGCATCTTCATCACGGCTATCCCAACCATGGAGGCGCTAGGTGCCACACGTGACGGTCTCCCGTGCCCCCTCGAACCGTCGCCACCCAACATGCTGGGCTGACACGGTGGCGGGACTTACCGCAGGTAGCTGGATGGAGAGCACGCGTGTGGAAGCTCAAGGTGGCAGGCGGCTTGAGGCCCGCTGGTAGGTATATTTCTGTTGGCCGTGTAGCTCCAGCGTCGCCACGGCTGGAGTTGGTCCGGAGAGCTGGGAGCTCTACACCTGAAAGAATCAGTCAGCGTCGAACCCGAAGATCGGGCCGAATCGGAACATGCGTCGAAATCGAATCAAATCGAATCGGATCGGCGGCACCCAAATGCACAACAATGCCATGCAAGCGTCGGGCCTCATCGCAGTGGCGTAAAATCTCACTCCGCCGCCCGCGTCGGCGTGTGCGAAAGGCTGTTTCGTTTGACTCGTCATCTTCGTCGCCGTCGCCGTCGCCACTCCTTTCCCTGGACCCTCCTAAGCGTGCCAGTCAAAGCAGAACAACCTAAGCGAAACTGAGAAACGTCGTAATTGAGTCGAAGGGAAGAAGCCTTGTCCCTTTGATCCCTTCCCCGCCTAAAGGGGAAGGGGCCTGGAAGGGGGAAAGTGGGGGGCTCCCGGGTGGTGGGTGGTCCCGGAGGAGGGGTCCAGGTCAGAATACCATCAACGCCCGGGGGTCCCGGGGCCCAAGAGGGCCCCCAAAGACCCCCACGAGGCTCCCAGGCGCCTCTAACGAACCGCCAGGAAGCCCCAGGAGGCTCCCAAAAGGCTCCCCAAACACTCCCAAAACTTCCTCGAGGTTCTTGGGCACCTCTTGGGGTGCCTCGTGTAGCCTCACGGGCACACTTGGGAGCGTCTGATCTCGACCTTCCCGAATGCCTCTTCCATCGTGGGGCTCGTCCTCCAGGGTCGGCGGCACTGGCCGTAAGGCCTCAGCAATCGAATCGGATAGGGCCGGCAAGAATCGATATCGAGTCGGATCGATCGGATGGGAATGCACCCTGCCCTGGTAGGCGATGGTCACGGGACTTGGCCTGTGGGGCCAGGCACTTCTCTGTCTCGGGGCTTGCGTGGGTGCTGGCCCCCCTCTGGGCGCACCAGACGCCGTCGTTTCGGTCTCCGGACCTCTGGATCCCCTCGGCTTCTCGGCGAGTCCTGGGTGTGGTTTGCAGAGGGTGTGGCTTTTGACCCACACCTGGGGGTGGTGGGCGAGGATCTCGACAGAGATCCCTGCCGAGCCGAAACAAGGGCTCAGCAAACCTTTGGCGCAACGTGGTGGCCCCGGAGCCCCAAATGGCGCCGATCGCAGACCACACCCTGGCGTAACCCCACCCACTGTAGTCGCCGAGCCTGGCGGCTCGGGTCGGGCGGGTGGTAATTTGGGGTGGTTGCCCACACGGGGGGGCGAAGAGAAGGGCCCTGAAGGGCGCCTCGAGGGTCCTTTCTTCACCCCCATGCAGGTCACCCCCCCCCTTACAGCCAACCCGTATAGCAAAGACGCACGAGCCGGATGCAAGGGCCCTGGAAGGCCCTGTCGACACTCTGCGAGGGAGGCGCGGCCAGCGGAAGCGCTCAAGGACGGGACGAAGGGGAAGGATGCAAGGGTTAAGTCGGGCCTGTCCCCCTACAGGCCGATTTTGGACGAAGAATTACAAATAGTCAAAAAATGTTCAAAAAGAGTCCAAAGTGGTCAAAAATCGCCCCAAGACTATTTTCACTGTTTTCGAATACTCTTTCTGTAGAGGGACACGCCCGACTTAACCTTACCATGCGGGTCGACGGTGCGACCCGCCCGAGCGGGGCCTGGATCTGCTCACCAGCGGCACCACGGACAAGAACGTGTTCTTCAGCACCAGCGTCCACTCGACGCTCTCGCCGTCCCCCCGGGGCTCCTCGGCGCGGGGGGGGGACGAGAGGGGAGAGAGCAGGGCCAGGGGGAGAGGAGAGGGCAGGAGGAGAAGGGGGAGGAGGAGGAGGAGGAGGAGGAGGAGGAGGAAGAGAAGGAGGAGACGGGGGAGAAAGAGGAGGGGAAGGAGGGGGAGGACGGGTGGGATCAGCAGAGGGGAGAGGAGTAGAGGGGGGCAAAGAGAAGAGGAGGGGAGGAGGGAGGAGGACGAGGGTGCGGAAGGAGGGAAGGGGCAAGGAGAAGGAGGTGGCAAGGGACCATGAAGATCACAAGGACGAGGGAGACAGTGAGCAGGACAACGAGGAGGGCTGGCGGGAGGACGGTGGGGCAGGTGGAGGAGAGGAGCAGGACAACGACGAGGAGGGAGGAGACCGATGACAAGGTCGGACGAGGACGAGGCAGGGAGGAGGCCGAGCGCGAAAACAGCGCAGCCGACGACGGCGGATCGGATGTCCCCAGAAGCAGTGATCCCTGGCCCCAGGGTGCCCCCTGCACCTCGCGCAGCGCCTGGCCCCCTGGGCCCTGCGGGCCTCGCGAAGGGCCCTCTGCAATCCTTCCAGGCCTCCCTGGAAACGCCTGTGTCACGGGAGGACAGAGGATGCACCGATACCGCCAGTCCGTGAACCTCTGCCAGGGTGCGCCGACTCTCCCAGGGTGCGCTCCAGCGATATCCAGCCGTGGCGACGAGGGCCTCTTAGGAGGACCAACATGGCGAAAAGGAGACAAGAGCATAGCGGTTGCAATACCTTTTCCTGACCTTGGGCAAGGGTTAGGCCGGGCATGTCCTCCTACAGGCGGCTTCTGGAAGGAACATCACGAATAATAGAAAAATCGTCCCCAGACTGTTTTTGGGGCTATGTTTGAACATTCCTCCTGTAGCGGGACATGCCCGACTTGAGGCAGGGGCCACTGTGGGAAGCACCCAGGCGGAGGACGGCGCCGTCGCGTGGCCGTCGCGGCCCCGCAGGTCCTGGGAGGCCATCGCCGGCGTGGCCTCCGGGCGCAGGGCGGCGGCGGCGGCGGAAATTCCGCGGCGAAACCGGACGCAGGCTCAGGACGATCGAAATGGGTATACGGAAGGAATGGGTGCGATGCCCAACAGCAGTTCCTGTTCATTTTGAACAGGTCTCGTTGTCCGTGCTGGCGCGGACGTGTTCACTGAAGACAAAAAGCCGCCTGCCCAACAGCGGCCGCTGTCGGATTTGGACAACATTTGTTGTTGGGCACTGTACCCATTTTGTCCGTACCCATTTCGGGCATCCAGACAGGAGGGAGGAAGAGGAGGAGGACCAGAGGAGTTCTGAGGAGGGGCACGAGTTCTGAGTCAGCTGTCGGCCACGCTCTTGTGGTGCCCCCCCCCTTGGAGGAGGGAGGGCAGGAGGGGAAAGAGGAGAGGAGAGGGAGGAAGAGAGGAGGAGAGGGGCCAGGAGAGGGAGGATGAGAGTGAGGAGGACGGGGGGGAGGAGAAGGAGGAGGAAGAGGACCAGAGCAGACCCAGGATGCCCCGACGATGGCTGCAATTCGCCCTCCAGTGCCGAGTCCTCCACGCTCATGGGTCCGTGCAGACCCTGCGAGAGGCACCCTCTTGAAAGACGGGCGCACAGTGGGCCTGCCAAGCGGGCCAGAGCCCCGCCCCGCTTTGGAAAGGAGCTGCCCTGCACCACTCGCGCGAATCCCACCAGCCCTTGTGGGCGCAGTTGATTCAGAGCGCTTCCTCTTCTAGCGTCCTTCTTCCCTTTCGGGGTGAGGTTAAAACCACCGCTCCTCATTAGCAAAACTCCCCCACCCGATCGGCGACAAACCCACAACAATGACACCCCCACCCCCGTCATCACCATCCGCTGCAGAAAACCATCCTGGCGAAAGATCCAACCATATGCAATTGTGAATACCGCCGGTGTGAGAACCGCTATCGGTGGAGCTCCCGACGGAGCCGCGAAAAATGTGAACAGAGGTGAGGGGGGTACCAAAATGAAGGAGGTGGCGGCATGCGGGCGCAACCACTGCGGCCTTAGGTGGAGCTCCGTATGGGGCCACGAAACGTGTGAGGGGTGTACCGAGGTGAGGGGGTGGCGGCATACGGTGGCGGCCACTGGGGCCTTAAGTGGAGCTCCCTATGGGGCCACGAAACGTGTGAGGGGTATATCAAAGTGAGGGGGGGCGGCATGCGGTAGCGGCCACTCGGGCCTTAGGTGGAGCTCCCTATGGGGCCACGGAACGTGTGATGGGTATACTAAAATGGGGGGGTGGCGGCATGTGGGCGCAACCACTGGGGCTTTAGGTGGAACTCCCTATGGGGCCTCGGAACGCGTGAGGGGTATGACAAAATGAGGGGGGGCGGCATGCGGTGGAGGCCACTGGGGCCTTAGGTGGAACTCCCTATGGGGCCACGAAACGTGTGAGGGGTGTGCCAAAGTGAAAGGGGGTGACGGGATGAGGAGAGAAGGAGGAGGAGGAGGAGGAGGAGGAGGAGAAGACGCGGGGAATGTTTTCTTCAAAACGAGGACCATAAACCACAATATGGTTAGGAGAAATGTAAACTGCACTTTGCACCAATCATGAGCGGGCGCCCCGCGGTCACTTTGCATTGGGTGTTTGACATTATCGGTCAGGACACGGACGCCAAGGACAATACTATCCACAACGCAAACAACGCAATAGAGCACACAGCTGCGCAACGCGGCTCGACACATTCCGATTCAGCGCAGCACAACAATTCATGACCCCCGGCGCGGTACATCACCATCATTGTTCAGCGTGGCATTTGCCCGTCGCCCACTTTCGTGTTGTGAAAACGTTTCCATGCATCACGTTTCCATACAAAATTCCCGGGTTGGTCGTTCAATAATGCTTGACAGGCAAGGCGGGTGGTGCAATGAGGACACACCCCACCACCCGTGTCAAATAAAAACGAAGGGCGGCGACGGGGCGGCGACGGCGACAACTTAGCCACCAGACAAACCACCAGGCCCAGTTCCACCAAAAAAATCTAAATCCATGGGGAACATTACCAAATGCACTTTGCCACAAACGTGGGGGGGTATTGTTGCCAGCGGCATGCAGGCCCACCACCCCTTTTTCAAACCAACATGTTCGCCAGCGCGGACCCCAAACAACGTGACTCGGGGCATTTTATGTTGTGCAATGTATGTTGTGCAACCTATATGGTACGATCAATGTGGTGAAATTCACCTTGTCGAAGTTGAAATTGTCAACTCCACTGATCGCGCAAACTTCCCACCCACCCACCCGCAACTTGTTTTGCAAAACCCACGCTGCGGCGATTGCGATGAATATTGGGCGTTGGCTAGTGCATCTCTGCGGCCGCGCTGGCCCGCGCATGCTCCCGCGCGCAGCGACCAGGTAGTGCGGCGCGGCCGACGCGGCCGCGGTGGCGCTGACAACTGGGAACTTCCCAGCGGGCACTTCAGTGCGAGGCGGTGACGTGGGCGACGCCACGGTAGACACGATGTTGAGAGCAGCGATGATGGTAACACTGGTAGCGATGACAACGGCAAAGCCAATGACGGCGCCGAAAAAAAATTGGACGGAGTTCGACATACGCGCGCGGCCGACGCGCGCGAGTGGCCCGCTTGGTATTATTTGACACGGATCGCGCCCCCCACCACGCGCGCAAGAGCGTTCGGATGAGTTCGACATGCGGGGAGAGAAGCCCGCTTGGCAGAATTAAACGTACAGCTACAAACTATGACTTGCTTAAGAATTCGCTAGATCGCGCAGGCAGTGTTTGAAAACTGTTGTTGCAACATGATGTGTTGTTATATTTGTTCGGAACACTGGTTTGCTCGATCTCTACGCAACCGACAACGTTGAGAATTATTTCGGCATGCACGCGCGACGACGCGCGCACGCGCACAGGACGTTCAAACGATGTCGGCATGCGCGCGCGAGAGGACAGTTTGGTAGCATGGCCTGAACATGTTGAAAACATACGGTTTTATTACGACTTCGCATGAGCGCGGGCACAGGTTGTTTGGTTTCTAACCCTTTTGCGACGCCATGTGTTGTTGCAAATGTTCGGGGCACTCGTTTTCTAAAACCCTTACGGAACAACATGTTTTTGATAGATTTCGGCATGCGCGACCGACAACACGCGCGTGCGCACTTGGTCCCATTTTGCGCTCGGGGTTCCTGAAAACTGGTGGCATTTGATAAACGAGTGCGCGCGCATACTGCTTTTGGCAAAGGATAAGGGGGACACCGGCACCGGCTTGCATAGGGCGTCATGAATTCATACAATTGCGATTTAAGACTTGGCAAGAGCGCGGGCGCAAATTTGTTTTGAAAACGCGCGTTGCGATACCATATGCTTCTATTTCGTTTCCGGGACACTCAACTCTGAAATCCTTACGTCACCAATGGTTTTTGAAAGATTTCGGCATGCGAGCGCGACGACGCGCGCGCGTGCTTCTGGAAATCAACGAGCGCGCGCATATCATTTCTACCGGGAGATGAGAGGGGGAATCGATGCCGGCTTGCCCGGCGCGGTCTGAATTCGCATTTAGAACGGGCGACGGGGAAGAATCACACGCGAATTGCACCGCGAAAGAAAACGCCATTCATTCGGGGGGGTAGATCGCACTCTGCAAACAAAAGAGAAAGACTGATGTCGCAAATGAGTTATCACATCCCGTGCCCCTGCAAAACATCCCGCCCGCCCACCCGCAACTTGGCCTGCAAAACCCACGCGGCGTCGATTACGATGAACGCTTGGCGTTGGCTAGTGCATCTCTGCGGCCGCGCTAGCCAGCGCACGCTCGCGCGCGCGCCGACCAGCTACTTGGGCGCGACCGACAACACGCGCGCACGCACTTGGTCCCATTTTGCGCCCGGGATCCCTGAAAACTGGTGGCATTTGATAAACGAGTGCGCGCGCATACTGTTTTTAGCAGAAGATAAAGGGGGAACCGGCACCGGCTTGCATGGGGCGGCATGAATTCATATAAGTGCTTTTTGAGAATTGGC